GTTTATTCTATCTCTATTAAAACGCTAAAGCTTAAAAAGAGTATCACTACATTATAAACTAAACTTGGACTACTAGCAAGCGATAAACACATGAGGGCCAGCACCTACAGTAGAACTCTTCTAGTTACATATGCAAAAGACAAATTTTAGAAAAGTGTCATAGTTTGCAAATAAGGCGCCACCCCCCAATGGGGTAACTTTGACCACCTAATGGCAGCCGTGACAGGGTGACATTGACCGGCTTGGAAATTAAGTTAAAATTACCATAGGTACCTATATAACATATTTTATGTTTGATACACCTATTAATGTTTTTTTCTTTATGTTTCAGACTCTACAGAGTCTTATAAATGATAATTTTAACTTAATTTCCAAACCAGTCAATGTTACCCCATCATGGCTGCCATTAAGTGGTCACATTTCGCCCATTGGGGGGCAGCTCCCCCCATTTGCAAACTATGACACTTTCCTAAAATTTGTCTTTTGCATATGTAACTAGAAGAGTTCTACTACAATGCACCACAACCTGGAGTTATATGGAGTTATTTTACCAAAAAATAAAATTGATTTTACCACCCGGTCAAAGAAACCCCAAGAGCTGGGGTAACAAAGACCATCACTTTTTTTTAAATTACATCAAGCCTATGAGAGGCAGGAGCCAGCAATTTATGGTAAGTAAAGCTAGAGTATAGACCTGTATTTTGCATGTTTCAATTTAAGTTTAGCTTATCCAGTAAAAAAAATGGCATTTTGAAAAAAAAAGTGGTCAAAGTTATCCCATTTTACGGTATCTCATTCCAGAAAAAAATGAAGGCCACTTCCGCACGACAGAGTAATAAGGGACACCCCTAAAAATGCATTTACAGTAGAGCCTTGGTTAGCAAAGGCTCCAGTTGACAAAAAAAATCAATAAACAATAAAGAATTTTGATTGGATTCACCTTGCTCAGCAAAAAAAATTCACTTGACAGAAAATTAGTGCATCATCGGTCATTACTAAACTGTGCATAGAATGTCATAGATAGAATTGTTCACTGGGCAACATAGAATGGAAAGTAATTAACCTAAAGTATGATTTTTTTCCCAGAAAATATGATGGTTGTCACTAAAATATTACTTTGTTTCAGGTATGTTTTTAAAATTTTTTTTGTTGAAGTGAATTCACTTGACCCAATTAAAATGATGCAAAATTACAAGTCATCCTATAAGCTTACCTACAGAATAAATGCTACACGGCTGCTGATATGAAGCTTGGAGTGGACAAGGTTGTTGTCAATACTCAATGGCATCTCCATGGATACAGTAATATCACATCAATAATACTGTAATGCATGAATAAAGTAATATCATATCAATAAAGGAAAAACAAGTAAAAATTACAGAAAATTTCATTTATTCTACATCTACATCATTTACAAACTAAGAGGAGGACTTCAGAGTTCAGAGTACTGTTAGTAATGGATGAGTACACTGCATGCTTCAAACGTTATAAAATTGAGTTTAATTTCAAGTGACCCTTATTACCCCATTCCCAGGGTTGCTTCAGGAGGCTTTCATTTTGCATCTGGCATCATATGAATAGCATTTGGAATTTTTTCAGAAATGCCATACAATAGCCCTTGCAAATACATTTAAAATGAGCCCAAACTCATTTATGAAATGTTTCATGGCAAGAAGTTATTAAGGAAAAATGCTCAAAACCAGCCCTTATTACCCCCATTTGACAGTACTCTTCCAAAATATAATATATGTAAGTTTTTTTTTTCAAGGATTTTTAGAGCTAGTAAATATATGATTTCTTAGCTTCCTTTATGCTATGTTGACAGAGAAAGTGTTGAAGTTTAGGCCATTATTATTAGTTTTGCAATTTTTCAATTAGTTTTGCTTCTGTAACATTTTTACACCATGACTGAGAACTGTCCCAATTTACCCCACTAGTCCCTTATTACCCCATTTGACAGTATTATCATTCAATTTAGCCATTTCATTTTTTCAATCTTCCACAGGATTTCTCTTTTTGGCTACTCGAATTGCATTAGTTTTTCCTCTTTATTTCTACATTCTTTTCCAAAAACATTTGAATCTGTAGTTAGCAATCTTCAAAACTGGTCAATGGCTTGCAATGCAGAAGAAAATAAAGTGAGCAGCTTTCATAGTGAGCAGAGTTTCTCTGAGGTGTCTGCTGGAGCTTGCGGAGTCAAGTTGGAAGGTATATATGCCATTTACTCTGTTGATTCTATCTCATATATTACGTGTTATTTTTAGTATGATGAATTCCAATATGTATATGGTTTTTTAATTTTTTATTTTTTTACAATAACTGACTTTTCAGGTGTTTGATATTGATGTATATAATTTGTAGAAGTGGAATGTTTTCAGATTCAGATCAACTCTATGCTATGATATGATATTGTGTGAGCAAAGCTTCATATAAATGCTTCTATTATTCAGCTGTTGAAGCAATGGATCCAAATCTAGATGCCAAAACATCTGCCAGCAGCAGCAAGAGGGGGCCTGAGGAAGGGATGGAAGTTGTATATGTAAAAGAAGATCCAAATACATATGATAAGGTATATATATGCATGAGAGTTTACCACATAAAATTGTTGTCATTTATTCATTTCACTTTGATCTTTGTAATTCCCACATCAAGTATCAGAGAGTAAAATCTGACTGTTTATAATCATGATAAAGTTGCTGGCTTTTCACATTTATTGCTTGATCAATAATGATGGCACTCAACAATAAACCATACATGTAATGTTTTTATTGTTTCATTCCATCTGATTAATGGAATGTGATGGCAACCCTGATTTGAATGTATTCATTTTTACTTACATATATAGTTTATCATTTTGGTATAGATATATTTGCAGTAAAATGTCCCACCATTCCCTTATTTGTATTTGAGGCTAGGTTAACATACCACTACCAATAACCAATGACCCATATTACCAGCCATAACAACTCTATCATGCTTGAATATTTTAAAATAACCTTTACAAAAATATACTACAAACAACCTACACAAAATATATTTTAAGCAATTTTCCTTCAATGATGATGGACTGATGGTACATTTTATTGAAGTTTGATAGTTTCTATTTATAATTGCTAGTTATTTTTGCATAACATTAAGTATTTTTTTAATATAATGGTATAATAATGTGTGATAGATTTGTCAATTTGCATTTGCATCTTCAGTACATTTTTTTACAATATTTTAAACTATTCATAAGTCAATGCATGATTGAATTAGTTAATTTGTATTGTATAATAGTCATAGAATTTGAATTTCTCAGTTCTGTTTCTGCCCAACAAAAGAAAACCTAAGAACCTGTTAACAACAACTTTTGTGGCAGGATTGTTCACCTGAGCTCCTCAGCCCTGGTGATGTTGGCAAGCAAACTTCACCTTTCCCATCCTGCTTACTAGAAAAGTTGGAAGCCAAAATTGACATTGAAGATGATTATGAGGATGGTCATGGCACCACCCTCCACTGTGATACTACTGAAGAGAAGGTGCATAATTTTTAATAATTTTAGATTTAATTACTTCTTATGGTGCATATGTTTTAGATTTAATTAGTTCTTATTTACAATTTGGCAGTGTGGTTCAGCCCAAAATGACAATTAATACTTAAATTGCCATTGTTCCCAAATGGAGATCATGAACTTCAACCCACTAGTAGCTTTTTCCATAGTTCTTTTTAACTTTTTTGTATTTTATTTAAAACCTAGGCTAATAAGATCCCCCAACACCACCCTCAATATGTTTGGAAACCTGTGCACATGATAAAACAAATTCTGCAAACAAGTTGTCACAAACAAATGCATCTTTGCCCCTAAATGCACCATGTGTCATAAATTATACAAACCAAAAAGGTAATCAGGCTACTTGCCTGTAGCACTCATTGTATCAAGTACAATAACCTTATGATAAGTTGAGGCATGGTAAACATAAATGCCCATGAGAGACAAGACAAGGGGTTTGTGAAAGCTTCCGTAAGCCCCATATTTCCCAGTCCATTTTGGTTGTGGTGTTTCCTTTGGAGGTAAAAAAATGTAACCTTAATTTTAACCCCTTTTTTTGAGTAAGTTACCATATATTGTAACTAAAATGGAGGTCAAAAAGTGCCCTCCCACATCTCCCCGCAATGAGTTTGGTAGCCTGCCAATCTGTTCCAGCCAATTACAGATCTTGCAGAAGTTGTGTCATGTATGACATTGCCCTCTGCCACGCTGCTGCATTAGTGTGAGCTAATTTGAAAATTAGTCACCATCAAGATATGACCTAATGTGCAGTTTGTGCTCCTCCAGCCTTCACTCATCTAGTGATATCTCATGCTAAGTACTGTAATGTTGGTAAGTTCATAATAGGCAGTTGTATCATAGTTGAAAACTTGCTAAATCAATGTGATATAATGTCATTTGCTTGAAATGAAGGCAAGTTGCTGAAATTAGACCGTAATAAACAGTGGGTGGGGTAAAAAGAACAGTCCTCCAACATTTTGTAGAAATGTTGTAGTAGCTAAAATAATCAAAATATTGCAAAATTAAAAATAGTGGCGTAAAGTTCAACATTTTTAATATCTAAGCAGCATACAGCAAGTTGAGAAATCATCCATTTATTACTGCTAAAAAATCCCTGAAAAAAAGTGTGAAAAGTGAGATTTTGGAAAAGTACCTCTGCTAAGGTCTGTAGCAGAAAAAATATTTATCATTTCGAAAAATCTTACTTACATAAAAGTTGCACACTGGTGTTGGCTTAAAAGCATGATTGACAGAATTTGCATATCTCATTCTAAGAAAAAATGGCGGCCATTTCTGCAAAACAGGGTAATAAGGGACACCCCTCCCCCCCCCCAGGATAATAAGGGACACCCCTAAAACTGCATTTACAGTAGAGCCTTGGTTAGCAAAGGCTCCAGTTAATGAAAAAATCAATTAACAACAAAGAAATTTGATTACATTTACCTTGCTCAGTGAAAAAAATGTCACTTGACAAAAAATTACTGCATCAGTCATCACAAAATTGTGCGTAGAATGTCATAGATAGAATTGAGCACTGGGCAACAAAGAATGAAAAATAATAACCTAAACTATGATTTATTTCTCCAAAAAATATGATGGTTGTCACTAAATTATTCCTTCCTGTTTCAGGTATGTTTTTTACAATCTTTTTTGTTATAGTAAATTCACTCGACTTGATTCAAATTGTGCGAAATTACAAGCCATCCTGTAAGCTTACAGATACAGAAGAAATGCTACATGGCTGCTGATATGAAGCTTGCAGTGGACAAGGTCATTGTCAATGCTCAATGGCATGTCTATGGATACGGTAATATCACATTGATAATAGGGTAATTAATGAAAATGGTAATATCATAGCAATAAAGGAAAAACAAGTAAAAATCACAGAAAATGTCATTTATTCTACACTAACATAATCTACAATGAAAGAGGAGGACTTCAGAGCACTGTTAGTAATACATGAGTACACTCTGCATGCTTCAAACATTTTAAAATTTAGTTTTATCACAAGTGTCCCTAATTACCCCATTTCCAGATTAATTCAGGAGCCTTCTATATTGCATCTAGCACCTTACAAATAGCATTTGGAATTTTTTTGAGAAGCCATATGATAGCCCTCGCAGACCTTTAAAATGAGCCCAAACTCGTTTATGAAATGTTTCATGGTAAGTTATTAACAAAAAATGCTCAAACTGTCCCTTTGTACCCCGTTTGACGGTATATCCTGGAAATTTTATACTTCATCTGTTAAGAGTCTATCAAAGTCAAAATATTTGGTAATAATTATTATTTAACCAGGTGATGCTGAATGATTATTCTGAGAAGAAATTCATGGACACTCTCTTTTTTGATGGAAGTGAGGTTGATGAAACTACCAGTGATGATGACCTCAATGACCCAGTAGCTGTGTATGTCAGTGATATGGATTCTCTTGGATCAGATTGCGGAGGTGAGAAATTTATTTTTTAGCATTCAGAGAAATACCAAAAATTGCGGTGAGCCTTCAAGCATAACTTCGCTTAAGCCCTTTTCACACAGTGTGGCAATGTGTCAGAAAAAACTCAATGGTATTTACCACGTAATCATTCACATAAGGTGGTTGCCACATTCAATATGAAATTTATGTCCAACAAGTACAGGATTTTCCATCATCCACTTGATGTGTCTAATAAATTAGCAATTGATAATGTAAAAGCCTGTTGCGTGCTGCACAATTTTGCTCGAACAAGAGACGAACACAGAGTTCATGACGATAATAATGGAGATGAATTACAAACTGTTGCAAATATTGGTCACCAACAAGGAGGAAGAGGAGCAAACCACATCAGAGATATGTTTGCAGATTATTTTGCAAGCAACAGTGGTTCAGTGTCATGGCAAAAAGAGTAAATATGATCTGCAAATATTTCTACTCACCTATGTTATTTTTTGATCCATCATCTTTGAATTCTGCATAATTTTCCATCAGCTCTTTGCATATGGTCTTCCATGCATTGACTTTTTTAATCCTATCTTTGTAGTTGCTGCAGGCATATCCCATATATACTGCAGGGTGCTTTTCTACAGCTATTATAAGCTTTTCATTGTCACCTGCATACATCATTGAACATGGAAAGATATGTAGTTCCCAATAAAATTATGTTTCAATTATTCTCAAACTTGTCATTACAAAATTCATTCATTACTCATTACATTCAGTAGCTAGAAGAAATGGGTGTAATTATCCTTACCTCTTCTAGTAGCTTGAGCTGCGAACACCCTCGCCAACCTACTGTCTGTACCACACTAGGATGTGGTGTACCACACTAGGATGTGGTGTACCACACTAGGATGTGGTGTACCACACTAGGATGTGGTGTACCATACTAGGATGTGATGTACCACAATAGGATGTGCTGTACCACACTAGGATGTAATGTACCACACAAGGATGTGGTGTACCAAACTAGGATGTGGCGTAAAAAACGCATAGTGTGAAACAGGGTTGGCATTGATAAAATCAAAATGATTAAATCGTGTGATTAAATAATTTGATTTTTTTATAAAAAAAATCATTATTTTTTTATTTTTTTTTATTATTTTTTATACATTTAAATATATTTAGTGGCAGTCTTTAATTTATTTTGAGGTATTGTTATTCATGGTTTAGTATAAATGTACTACCGGTATTACAAATTGGAATATAAACTTGTTGCCTTTAATAGATGTCATAATCTGGTAAGTTTTACTATATTCATGAGCAGTTATTCTCCGTTATAGGTCTAGAAAGATATTTATTCCTAAATTGTGCTGAAAATATGTGTTTTATATGTAACTAATAGACAGTTTTTAAGTGGTCATCCCTGTTAACGTCAGGAAATGAGAACTCCAGTTACCGTCAGGTGATCACGATTTTCTGTTCAATGTAGCTCATTCTATATAGCAAAATGGGTTTTTATGTCAATATAGTAATGCAATCAATATATACACAAACTCTTTGGCAAATGGGATAATATGAGGCTTATGTGCGTTATTTATTATGAACATAAATTAGCATAGTTTTCTTACTATTACAGATATGGGACTAACTGATGAACAAATCGCACATTTGGTAAACTTGCCTTCAGATTATAGCGACCCTAGTGACGAAGGAACAGACGAAGAGAAAACAACTTCTAAGCATGCTTCTGATGGCACCCTTCCACTTGATCCTCTTGATAAAGCGCAACAAATTACAGAAATTATGAGCTCTATCAGCACATCAGTTGAAAAAGAAAGCAGCTGTGTCACCATAATTATTGGCAATGAAACCCAATAAGTGATTGATTCAAATACGACTGAACACCCACGAGAAGCACAAGACGAGGTAAATCCAACTGCGACAGAAAAGAGACAATGGAGATCGAGAGATGAGCCTGACAATGATGTTCAGTTCAGAGGACAGCAGAGCTTCAACTTTGTTCCTAAGACTACAGTAGAGAGTTTTTGCCAATATTTCGATGACGAACTGTTGGAAAAAATAAGATATCAATCCATTCTATACAGCACTCAGAAAGGAAAATCTGTGAACATCACCAAAGAAGAACTGCTTACTTTTTTTGGAATCACAATAATAATGAGTTACAACAAACTTCCTTCTCTCCACCATTATTGGACAAACAGTGATGACATCGGAGTGAATGCTATCAAACAAGCAATGTCCAGAGACAGGTTTGAATGCATTTTATCTAATCTCCATTTGAATGATAACAGTCAGATGAACTCTCACAAAAAAGACAAACTTTTCAAAGTTAGACCTTTAGTTGATCATCTTAACAATAAATTCATTTTGCGAAATCACAAAGAACACCTCGCTATAGATGAATCAATGATCCGCTTCAAAGGACGATCATCACCGAAACAATACAACCTGATGAAGCCTATAAAAAGGGGCTATAAAATCTGGTGCCTGGCTGATGTGTATGGTTACATCTACAAATTTGACATCTACACTGGGAAGAATGAAGGAATGTCAGCTGCTAAGAAAGAATTTGGTCTGGGTGGATCAGTTGTAAAGGATCTCTCATCTCATCTCGAAGGTAAAAAGCACAAAATTTTTTCTGATAATTATTTTGCTTCTATTCCTCTAATGGAATACTTAAAAAGCAAGGAAATTTGTGCATGTGCAACTATTCGCTCTTCCAGGAAAGACTTTCCTTCACTGAAGGCAGACAAGGAATTGAAAAGAGGTGACTATGATTACAAAGCAAATGCAGGTGTAACTGTCTACAAATGGCATGATTCAAAACCTGTTTACCTGATATCAAACTACCACAGAAGTGCTTCATCAACTGTAAAACGCAAGAATAAGGATGGAAGCCATGTAGTACTCTCATGTCCAACTGCAGTACGTGATTATAACTCGTATATGATAGGAGTGGACAAACACGACATGCTTCGCCAGCTGTATGGACTAAACAGAAAGGCTAAAAAATGGTGGCATCTAATTTTTTTTGGGCTGTTTGACATGGCAATTGTAAATTCATTCATTGTCTTTCAAGAAACAACCAGACCTGAGATGAACTTTTTCAATTACAGAAGATCACTAGCACAAGGCTTGTTGACTATCGGAAAGTGTGAACGTGCAGACAAAAGAGTCAAGAGAAGGAAGTTCAACTACTCAGTGCCATCTTCAGTGAGACTTTCTAACACTGGCGTGCACTGGCCTGTGTTCGGCCACCCCAAAGGACGCTGCGAAGTTTGTGCTTCGGAAGGAATTCAGTCACGTCCAACATCGCAGTGTTCACAATGTAAAATCAATCTCTGCTGCAATACGTCCAAAAATTGTTTTATGCGTTATCATCAATAATGGCAAAATCTCTGTGCAAAGTACATATAACAAAAAACCTGCTAGTTTTATCTCATTTATTAGTCTTTTATTGATAAAATTCAAGCTTGCTATACAAATATACCGTATAAAGAAACTCATATGTTAAGGAAATGTTTTTTACAATAAATGAGTTCAGCTATTTTGAAAACATTTTTATGCAGTATAATATTTTTGTTTCAATTTTCAATTGGGAATTGGTAATAACATTATTTTTTTCATTTCTATAGATCAGAAAGGGTACTTTTCAAAAGATAGCAGTAAATGTATGAAATATATGCATGGGATGGACAAGACTATTTTTACCCATTCTGATTACAGTCATAGACGTCTCTTGGTAACCCTAGTTGCCAGCCCCCATTGGGGGGTCCCTTGAAGCTTTGAGTATATTTTAAAGTTTAGAGGATCAGCACTACACCTTACAAGTAATACCACAAAATATAATGAAAAAATTACTATTATAAATGTAGCTTGGTGTCAAAGGGTTAATGTGTATTAGGTTCCAATTAATTGTATGTTTTTGGTACAGAGGCATCAAGTGTTGCAAAACAGTGTACATAGCTAGCAGCTTCTTTTAGATGTCCCCAAAGAAAGAAATTGTAAATGCTCAAATCAGGTTACCTTGCAAGTTGCAGGCTACTGTAAATCACCCCTCAGGGACACCAGACATCCGGGAACATGCGTTTGAAAACATTGAGTGACATTCAGGCTGTGTGAGCTGTAGCCCCATCCTTCTGGAACCACACGTCTCCCAATGCTTCATTTTCAACAATGTTTTCCATCCTGGGCTGCAAGAAATTTTGCAACATTGCAGCATAGCGTACGGAATTCACTGTCACGGTTACTCCCTCCTCCGAGAACGACTCCAACAGTGTGTTGCAGCTAACGGCCACCATCTTCCAGATATTGTTTTCAAAACATAAGTAATCTAATGGTATGTTATGTTAACCTCGAGGAAAATAAACTTTCTTCTTTATCTACCTCCATTACTCTTTTATTTTGCCTCAAAACTGCTTAATCGGTTCTGCCCCACCCTTTATATTGAGAGGTTGAGATTGGATTGACCTTTTAGGCAATAAGAAAGATTTTTCACCCTAATATGAATATTCTAATTAAAATATTTAATTTTAATTTTTAAATATGTCAATGTAAATATGTCACTAGAAACTAAATATGTCACTAGAAACAAGACAATTACAATTTTAAAACTATATATATAAAATAATTAAATGCAGTGAATGGAAATAAAATGTTTGAATTGTGCATTTGCATATTTCAAACAGTGTTAGCTTTTCTCATAACATTAGTCTCATTTCAAGTCGTTTGAGGTTTGCTTGGTTATCGTTCAGTGTATTTTTAGTATTGGTTTATTGGTCTGAATCAAATGGGAACAGTGCAGTCAGTCACTCAGTCACTACTAGTTGGTGTGTTTAGAGGGTAGAGTCTGGTAGATTTATAGGATATAAAACTAGTAGATGTATTGATAGTGTTGTGCACCGTGCTATCAGCTACCCATCTGTTACTGTTATGTCACTCTTCAATGTTTAGAAGATCCGCATTCCTGAAGTGTTTTTGTATATTGAAGCCAGTTTAATGGTCAATATTTAGCTCGTTGCCTTGCTCCATACATACTTTACTAAGCTAATAAATAGACTTATCAAGAGTATCACTACCTTGGCCATTATTGAAGGCAATAAGTGCCCTTTTTAGCCATCCATTTTGATCCATGTACTGTTATTGTTAGTAGGCTAATTGCAACATAAAAAATAATATTTCAAAATAACAAAGAAGCTGAAAAAATAAAAAAAGGAAATAAATCGAAAAAATAATGAAAAAAATATTGATTTTTTATTTAAAAAAAATCACCCTCCCTGGTGTGAAAGATTACATAGAATACCATTTCAAGCGAAATTGTTGTGGCATATCTACCGCAGCAGTTTTAGCAGTACACACGCGTCCGTCAGGCATCAAATTCTACGCTGCATTAAAATTTTGTGTGTAAATGGCAGTGTATATTTTGTATGTCCACTGAGATTCACCAGTAAATGCCATTGCATTTTTTTAAATATGCGGTACTTGCCACTCTGTGTGAAAGGGGCCTATGTTACTTATTATACAATCCTTGTTGAACTGTTTGACATATAGAAGTTATTAATTTTTTTTGCTAATTTATAGTGACAGTAATATAGCATATTTATGTATTTGTGTACTAATATGTAGTAAAATTGCTCCTGATTGAAATACTCGTTTTACAAATATATGATGAGTTTTCACTTACAGTTCTATTGTATTTCAGATGAAGATGTCTCTGTTGACTCACATTCTGCAATCGCAATTGTAGAGGACAGCAGCGCATCTGAGATACCTAGTAACTCCACAGTAACTGTGGAAGCAAACAACAGAAGTGAAAAAACTAAAGGTCAAAAAAAGAAGATCCAGAGGCAAGTCATTTGGAAGACAAAGAATTTGATAGTACCAGAGCCCCTGAAAATGTTTCATGGTCAGGCTGAAACTCCAACAGAGGTGCAAAGCCTTCAAACCCCCTTTTCATTTTTCTCAACATTTTTCCCACCATCATTGTTTGAGTATATCGCAGAACAAAGCATCCAATACAGTGTTGAAAAAGACCCTGATAACGTGGTTGATGTGCGCTCAGATGACGTGCGGAAGTACATTGGAGTTGTACTTACAATGGGCCATGTTGGCATGCCAAGAATTAAAGATTACTGGTCAAAGCAGTACGGCAATCAGAAGATCATGAACACTATGACAAGGAAGACTTTTGAAAATCTCGGAGCAATTCTTCACTTTGCCCCAAATGATGTGTTCATACCAGCTGGTCAAGTTGGTCATGACAGACTTCACAAGATCCGTCCTATTATGAACGAACTACAAAAGAACTTTCAATCAGTTCCATTGGAAGAATGCCTTTCAATTTATGAACAAACGTGTCCCACCAAGAATAACAGCTCCCTGAAACAACATATGCCTACAAAACGACATGAGTGGGGCTACAAGTTCTTCATTTTGAGTGGAGTTTCCGGGTTTGTTTATGATTTTGAAATCTACACAGACCAAGAAAATGACCCTAAACTCAGAAGAAGCAATAAATTTGATATTGGGGCTGCAGCTAACGCAGTTGTGCGTCTTAGTCAAATTATTCCACAAAATTGCAATCACAAATTATACTTAGAGAATTCCAACACTTCCCTGGACCTTGTTGTGCATCTTGCAAAAAGGGGTATTTATTCTCTTGGCACTATTCGCAGAAATCTTGTTCCTCAAAGTGGAATGCCAACAGAAACTGAAATGAAGGCACTTGGGCGCGGAGCTTCAGTGGAACTGGTTGCCAATATTGATGGGATTGACGTATCGTTGGTATTTTGGCAAGACAAGAAGACCATCACTTTGATGTCTACTCTGACTAGAAAGCTGCCCACCTCTACTGTACAAAGGTTTGATCAAGCTGCACGAAAAAATATTGCAGTAAAATGTCCCAATCTAGTGAAAGAATGTAACAAACATAAGATCGGTGTAGACAAGTTAGACAGTCTACTGGGCCGGTCGCACTGTAAAATACGATCGCAAAAGTGGTACTTCCGTGTATTTTACCATCTTCTGGAAATCACCATTAACAACTCCTGGTTGATGTTCAGGAGAGTGCATGATTCCAAAATGAAAGTAAAAGACTTCCGAGCTGCTGTTGCAGAAACATTATGCACTTTGGAATTGCACAACTTACTTAAAAGAGGACGTCCCTTATCGTCTGATGTAGAAAAACAATTGATTGTGAAGAAAAGGCGTGGTAATGTAGCCCATCTGCCCCCTATAGAAGTCAGACTGGATGGTGTGGCACACTGGCCCAAGCATACTGATGACCGACAAAGATGCAAAATGCCAGGTTGTCATTCACTATCTTATGTCATGTGCCAAAAGTGCGGTGTTGCCCTTTGCTTTAAAAAAATAGTGAATGTTTCACCAACTTCCATATTAACTAATATGGACCACAAATGCGCCTTGTATCAATTTGATACAACCACCATCATTTAAAAACATTTCATTCATAATAAAAAGGAAAAATTTAAAATAGATGCAATTTATGTTTATATTTACTGATTTCAATATAGAATCACTTTTGAAATATTTTTTTTATCCTCTACATTGAATGCGTGCATTTAAGGGTTAATGATAACCCTTAATGACTGGTGGATTTCATGAGATCAAAATGATATCTTATGGTGATCTCCTGAATTGTTTTCTAGCCTTGAAATCCACTGTCCAAGTGTTGAGAATCACCTGCAACCGTCGCCGAGTTTAATGTGCTTTGGTTATCAAGTTCTGCTGCTCTTTGTTGTGGTCTTTAGTCCTGGTGCATTGCCAGTCTTGTAGAGGTGATCTCAACTGCATACTTGTAGACCGTTTCCTCACCATTGCTTGTGAGTTGGAGCTTCACCAGGGACACTGGAGACCTTATTGAAGACCTTGTTAACCTCCAGTCTGAACGGGGAGCTGTGCCAAGATAGATTGAGAAGCAGAAGCTGTTTTGTGAGCGTTATTTATTATCAAGTCATATTTTCACTGTTCGCTATACTACGTTTTACTGATCACCAAGGTATTTCTTAGTTTTAGGGTTCTTGCAACTCCTTTATTATGTGTTATCCCTTTTCATTCCCGTGTATGCATCACCCATTAACCTAACAACCCCTCATCATCAGGTATACCACTCAACTATAAAATAATGTGTGCCAACTTTTTTAGAGTTCATCTGGTTGATTGTTCTCACATTGATTTTTCCAGCTGTCAAGTGGTTTAAGCCAGTTTTCTGAGTTATAGAAGCCGATACTATACCATACTGGGCCTTGGGAGCTAGAAGGTTAGGAGTGCCCCTAACAGTGTTGTTATGTACAGTCATGTGCCAGGCAGTATCCAAATATGGCAAGATGATGAGGTGATTATTCATGTTCACAATATCTCGAGGAGTTCTTCTAAGTTTAAGAATAAAGGCTAAAACTAAAAAAGTTGCATATGTTTATCTAGGATTTCTATTCAGTAAAATGTTTTATGCAACTTTTTTAGTTTTAGCGATTATTCATGTATTGCACATGCTACCTTGAATGCTCAAAGTTTGAAAATT